CCAGATCTGGTTCCACTATTCAGTACTCCCACCTAACTGCAAATCATGCAGAGTCTGGGTTGCACAAACCATATACCACCGACTCCAGGTATCCTGTTTTGCTGTGGCCCTCAGGCTGGATTCTGCTCCCACAATCAGCTTCTCTCCCACGTCCCTGTACAGATTTGGGTTTCTGAGGGGCAACAGGGCTGGCAGCCACAGGGGCCTACAGTCACTGTTACGCTAGTTCAGGAAGTCTTGGTTTCCCTGAGGACAAGCAACTCCCAGCCTTTCTGCTGCTCCGAGCTCACCCTAGACCTGGTGACCTACCCACTGAGGAGGGTAAGACCTGAGCAGAGAGGGGTCCAGGGCATGGCAGGCCAGGGAAGGGGCGCTGGGTCCAACAAGGCAGAAAAAGGGGCATGTGTTTCTCTCCCAGAGTTGACACTTCCTCTCCAAGCTTTTTGCTTCTTGGTCCTTTCTATGCGGGATAAAAGATTCCTGCTATCAACTCCTATATCCAGACAAGAAAAATTCTTGCCCAGTCCCCTCCACATTCAGGTCATACCAGGGAAGTTCCAGTCTCAGTCCTGACCCCCTAATCTCGCTGTGGCCTAGAACTGAGTAAGGCCCGAGGGCAGTGCGGGAAGTGCTCCTGAATGCGCAAAGGCCGCCTGAAACCCTCAACCCCAACAGGCCAAACCCACTCGGTCCTTCCGAGCACTATCGGGCCCTGCCCGCTGTGCCCCGCTTAGGCGACCCAAGATCGCAGTCTTGCCTTTGCCCCAAGCTCACTGCTTCTCCGTTTTTGTCCACAAGCGACCCGTGAGTTAGGCAACAATTCCCCCAATTCCTTTGCCCGCTTTAGACAAATCCCTGCCCTCCGGATCTTCCAAAGACTCGAGTGCCATCCGGGTCAGGCCAGGATTCACTTGGGGGGTGGCGCTGACTAGGAGCCCGGCCTAGGCCTCTCCTGGGGGCAAAGCCGACGCCACGCGACCCCCGCCCTGGGGCCCACGGACAGCTGGCGCCGGAGCTCTACTTACTCGTACCTTTCCTTGGCCTCGGCTGCCCGGTCGCGCTGCCGCCGGTTCTTGAACCAGTTGCTGACCTGCGTGGTGGTGAGGCCCGTGGCCTCCGCCAGCTCCCGCTTCTCGCGCGGCGAGGGGTAGGGGTTGTGCGCGTACCACTCGCGCAGCACGCTGCGGCTCTTCTCCTTGAAGCAGTAGCTGGTCTCCTCGCCGTCCCAGATCGAGCGCGGCAGCGGAAACTTGCGGCGCACGCGGTACTTGCCCACCGCGCCCAGGGGCCGGCCGCGCAGCTTCTCGGCCTCGATGTAGTGCGCCTTGAGCCACAGCTGCTGCAGCTTGGCGTGGTTGTGCGGCGAGAACTGGTGGCTCTCCAGGATCTTGTAGAGCTCGCGGAAGTTGCCGCGGTGGAAGGCCACCACCGCCTTGGCCTTGAGCACGCTTTCATTCTTGTGGAGGTGCTCGCAGGCGGGCAGCGACCACAGGAAGCGGCCCAGCCGCTCGATGTTGCCGCCCTGCTGCAGCACCTCGCACACGCACGCCACTTGCTCCTGCGTGAAGCCGAAGGTAGGCAGCATGGACATGGTGCCGGCTGCGCCCCCGCCCGCCCTCCAGCGCCCTCAGCGCGCCGCGCGGTCCGGCATCGGGCGCCT